TTTTTTTTTTTTTTTTTTTTTTTTTGGTACTGGGGATTGAACTTGGGTCCTTATGCTTGGGAGGCAGGCAGCAGAACCACTGAGCTAAATCTCCAGTCCTAAAAGTCTATTTTTTAAATCAGTGATTTCCTTTCTCTGTAATTAGTAAACCTATAGTGTCACTGTGCAGAACAATACTTTAAAATGTACACCAAGAATTTTCAAATTATAGAAAGTAAAACAAGTAATTTTGAAACCTGAGGACGTGTCAGTCTTTTAAATGTTCTATAAAGCTGGCCAATTTTAACTGTTAAAATCTTTTCAAGTGTAATAGTGACATTTGTCTAAAATTTACTGTTTTTTTGCAACCAACCCAGTACACGTGCGATGACAGTCAATTAGAACTTACACACAGATTAACTTCTATTGAATGAGCCAATTAATTTGGAGCAAGCAGAATTAGGAAACAGACTTTAAACTAAATTGATAAACCCAGAAAGGGAGGTGAAATTCGCAGCCCAGCCAGGCACACTGCAAAGCAGTGCTAGTTCACAGGACGGCGCTGCACGGCCCACACTACGCTGTCCTGCACGGTGTCTCCACCTCACACCTTTCACACCGTCCATGCTGCACACTGTGCTCTCTACTCACAGACAAGGAAACAGGTCATGCCCTAAGAAGTCACGGGAGTGACACACTATGGAGCAGACTCAAGCCAGCTACCCATGAACCGTTACCCTCTGGAGGCTCCAGGTGCCTCGGCCGGGACCCTCATCAGTCCCCATGAACACCCCCACAGGATGAAATGAAAAATACCATCACGCAGGGACACGAAAGCTTTCTACAGAAGGGACTCTAATCATGAGGGAAGTCATACAAAGCATCAGGCAAACATGACAAAACCCCAAATCATTTGAACATATCAGACACACACAATACACATAAATGCATGGTCAGAAAAACACCCAGAGAAATGTCAGTCTAGAGGCTAGAAAAATGCTACTCATAAGATGTTTTATGTTGCTTCGGCACAGTAACTTATCTGGGGGCAGAAATAAGTCCAGCCCATGTGTTAAACACCTTGCTACTGTGTCCAGGGGTACAATGGACCAGATGACAGACAATCTAGTGACACTCACTTAGATCACAAAAATTACCGCATCACTCAGAACCCGAGAGCAAGAAGCAATCTAATAATTACAACTGGCACTTTTTTAAACAGGAAGAAAGTGCCATTTAATAGTTCTCTTTCCCACTGCAAATGGAAAATCTAGTTATAAATCAATTTGCAAACTCTTTCTGAGAGAGAAATCAATGCTGAAATCCTAATCACCTGTAGAAGCTCTGACCTGAAAAGCGGTCACATCAGGCCCAGCACTGCCACGTCCAGCTGGATGAGCAGCAGACACACCTAAGCCACGATGCTCACACCACTCTAGGAGCGGACACAAGCAGCCCGAGAAGTGCGAGGGTAAGGACCGCTAGGAGCTGGCCCACAAACCGAGGGGGTGGAGAAGACACTGAAATCTCGGAAGGCGTCAGGTCTGAAGAACTACAATAAAACTCCAAAATCAAGAGAAACAGAGTACATCTAACACGATGACAAGGAGCTATCGTGAAGCATCTCCTGGGTGCCACACTTTGCTCCCAGTTTTTCTCTTAAGAATGAAAGCAGTCGGAACAGTACAGAATCTCACTGGATCTGTAAAAGTACCAGACAGGACTGCTTGCTTTTATCCGCAAACAGGAAGTAGCTCGAGACACACATCCTGTGTTGACAGACTTCAGCACAACACCCAGACCTCCCAATCCTGGGTCATGTAACTCTCCTTACACTCATCCTGCAGGCCACAAGAGAAGCGGGGTCAGCCCTGATGCCACTACGAGTAAGAGCCACTCCTGGTGTCACCAGTGCTGACAGAGGACACACCAGGAACACAGTGGCATAACTGCCTGCAACTCCCATTTGCACAGCCCTCAGACTCGATGAGGAGCTTGTTTCTTACTTTGTCCTCGCAACTGTCCTAATACATGTTACTATGACCTCTGCCATGGACGTACGCACTTACTTTTCATTCATTGCCCAGGCTGCCCTACAGCTTTTAGTCCTGCTTCTGCCTCCCCAATGACTGGGATTACCGAGAGCACCATGGCACCCAGCTCCCTCTAACGTTTAGAAGATCTGTAAAACCACACAGCTATGAAATGGCAGTGTTCTACGCTGACCTCATCTTTGGACCAGACCACTTGGTCCATTCTAAGAACTGCAGTGATTATCAATCAGATAAATGTGTTCTCCTGTGGGTCTTTCATTTGTTTAAGGGGATTAAAAAAAACTTTAAAGTTTTATTTGAAAAAAAGTACTGGGTCTCACCGTGGAGACCCAACAGGTCTCAGGAGGGTCAGGCTCAGTCCGATACTGCTGGTGCTAGTGGAGGACACACCTATGGTAAGATACCAGTAAAAGACGCCTGCACTCACATGTTCACTGTAGATGTCACAACAGCCGAGATATGGAAACGGTCCAAATGCGGGTCAGTGGGGGAATGACTAAAGACAATGTGGTATATTCACATAACAGAATACTATTCGGCCACAGAAAGGCTAAAATCCTGTCATTTGTGGGAACACAGATGGAACGAGAGGTCATTATATCAAGTTCAGACACAGAAAGACAAAAACAGATTCTTACTGATCTGTGGAAACAAGTAGTCAACCTTGTGGATCAGAATGGAATGGCTGTCACTAGAGACTGGAAAGGGCTAGGGGAGACAGATGGAAAGAAATTCAGTAACGGGGCACCGAATCAAAGCAGGGAGATCACTTCTGGTTCTTTGTCACCGGCAGGGTGACTACTGGTTACAACAACCTACAGTTCAAGATTTCTCGAAGACTGCAAAAATGACTCATGGTTCAAGAGATTGAAGTAATTATTCCGACCTGAGTACTACACCCTGTATGCAGGTACGGAATCACCATCATGTACCCATGAAGAGCCACACACAGAGAGAAGACCTAAGGCAGTTGGGGGTGGGGACTCATCTTTGACTCGACTTGAACTGGGATGCAGACACCAGCCAACATCTCTCAGCAATCAGTTCACGGCATTCTTCTTTGGCTTCCTTCATTCTCTTGGCCAAAAACTGAGCACACTCCACAGCCTCTTCCTTATTTTTCTTAGCATGCTACTTCTTCAGGGCAACATGCCGGCATTTGTGCTGTGGAACATGTGGAATAGCAAGGTGCACTGTTGTTCACCTTTGCTTCACGGGTGCTTTGCAATTCTGCTAGTTCTTCTGTCCCTAGGTAACAGGGCACAACAGAATCCACCAGTCTAGGAACATCCTTCTCTTCTGTTCTAGTAACTGTGTTGTGAATATTCGGATTGGCAACCACAATACAAACCCAAACATTTGTGCTTTCTTTGGCCAGTTCAGTTCTCCTTGGTCCATTAGAGGAGTAATCTTCACTCAGCAGCAGACAGACAGGGCAGGGGCTAAGACACCCTGCTTCACACTCTGTTTCTGAAATTTTACCTAGAGCTTCTGAAGAAAGAAGCACAGGCTGTCTAGCGCAGGGTTTGGAGGTCTAGGCACTGACAACTTCCTAAGATCAAAGTTAATCTGAAAGGAGGAAGCCAACCAGGTAGAAAAGCAGAAATGAAGGAAACGTACCCTGGGGGAAATTGAGTCCCCAGGGCCCGGCTAGGTCGACACCCTTAATGAAATCCCAGGAGCCTTGCACTAAATTCGTTTTCACTAGGCTGGTCCAGATGGGTTTCTCTTTGTGCTCTCCAGATTCTGATGCTATAAACAGTAAAGACATCCTGGAAAGCAAACATTCTATTTCACCCTCTGAAATAAAAACTAAAGGCTGGATAAAAATTGGCCAACAGCACAGGGTTCTAGCAGGGCCCACCAGTCTATTGATCCAGAGAACATCTCATTAGCTCATGTTACCAAAGCCTACCTTCTACCAGGTACTGAGTGGCTTCCTCCAACTTAAACTGAAACACACAACGAAGGAGCAGTGCTTTATTCCCCTTCACACAAATGTTAGAAATGTAGAAAAGGGATTTTCACAGCGCAGCACAGATCTGAGGCACACATTTCTGAGAATCTTATGAGTGACTACTAAGATTAACGCAGTGCTCATCATTGGCCAGACATTCTGCAAAGCACTTTAGATTCCTTTAGTAAAGACAACTGAAGCGACAGCATTGCTCCAGAGTCGCTCCATGACTAGTACAGCTCAGTTACGGTCCCAGGCAGCCTGCCTTGTCACTCATGTACACTCGCAGACACATCATCCTCCTTGAGCCGTGACGTTGGGATCAGTATGCATCATCCCGATGCAGCATGCGACACAAGCGCTTATTCCCCGAGGAATGAGGAAAACAGGCGCAGTACAAGGTGAGCAGAAACACAGGAATGTGCATCACGCTTACGTACTATGCAGTAAGAAGCTGTGTAAGCACCGCAGCAAAAAGAAGAGCAACTGCATCTGCACAAACCGAAGGGAAGCTGACTACAGGCAGAAAAGGACTGGTTTTCTAGAAGACAAACACTCTCTGAAATGAAGCCTGCCCTGATTTCACAACATTGGCACACACAGCAGCACGTGGCTGGGGTGGCGCCTGCTCCCTGCTGCAGAGGGGCGGCTCCTTGGTCCTCACCCAGGGATCATACATGAGGGTGACTGCAGCATGTGTGGCACAGGCTGACCTTCAAGGCAGGGTCCTCTGGTGGACAGGTAACTCTCTCCATCTGCCCAGCACAGCAAATGCTTGTGGAGAGACGAGACAGCACAAAGAAACCGACTTCCGGACAGGAAGGCCTAAGGGACCACATCCAGGAGACTGGAAACAGTTCCTAAGGGAACCAACTGACTACAAGGTACGATCTGTGGGGATGACACCGTGAAATCCACATAGTTGCCGAGCTGGGGTGTAACTCTGTAAAGTTTAGGTTGTGCCTATGCTTCAGGAAAACCGCTCACATTTTAATGTTCATTCTCTTGCTTTGGAAATTCAATGGGAATGCCCAGTACTTAAAAGTTCGTATTACATACTGCTATTATTATGATTTTTTTTCCTGAAATGTATCTAAATATATAAAGATATAGTTAATCTTGATCATTCATCTGTTAAGAGTGCATTTGAAATTTTAAAAATATTAAAACTCAAGTATTACAAACTCTTAGAAAACAAGTCTCTTTACTATAGGAATGACTGAATGCCTTCTTCAATCACCACAGGAAATTCTAAACTATCTAATTCTATTAAAACATTTAAATGCTATGCTGGGCATGGTGGTGTATGCCTGTAATTCCAGCACTCGGGAGGCTGAGGCAGGAGGATCACTGTGAGTTCGAGACCAGCCTGGGCTACATAATGAGTTCCAAGTCAGTCTCAAGTACATAGTGAGACCCTGTCTCAAAAAACCAAAAAAAAAAAAA